AGTGCCTCTCAAATTTTTCTACTTATGTACTTGACTGTAGAGGTGATATGAAATGAGTATCTCAGGGGACCAGTGAAATAAGATTCTGAGGTTTCTTTGAAGTCTTTTTATCTTGCACATCCATGCAAATTTTACATTGTGTTCCATAATAGGTCTTATTTATTTTAAAAAATAGTAATTGTAAAACAATACTGCATCCCCTCCCCACATACAAGTCTTTGAGACTCAAGAATATGCAGTGTGCTTACCTTGTGGCTTCAAGAACACACTCCCCCTATGCCTCCCCACTAACACATTTCGTCTGGGGTGCATGTTCCCTGCAGTGGTGTGGAAAACAAACAAACATGTAGCTTTTGAGGATCTAGGCTACATTGTTGATGGCACTTCGGACCTTTGCTGAATTTAAAGGGTACCTTTATAAATATGTTAGCCATTGATTAGACAGACCCATCTGGGCAATCCTCTGCTCAGTTTTAATGGGGAACCTCATGAGCAGAGACTTAAGAATGTGGCTTCAGTCTAGAGCTCCTTAGCACGTGTTACTAGACCCTATAAACCATCTCATTAATTTTTACATTTCTTGAACCTAACTGGATCAACTGTCCCGCTTCTTCCTGGACACATAAATACAATATTCTCTCCCAAAGTCACCATACCCAAATAAGTTCTTCCATAAGGTTGCTTAGAGATTGTAAATAATTCCTGTAAAGTGTTCAATACGGTTTCTTACATGTGGTGAACAGCCAGGAAACGGTAGCTGCTATATTATTATTGCTGCTATCATTATACAACGTGTACCTACTGTGAACAAAGCAGCATTATAAATGGAAAGTTTTTAAAACTGATGGCTGACAGATAACTTTGGATCTTTTTTTTGATATGGAGTCTTACTCTGTCGCCCAGGCTGGAGTCCAGTGGCGTGATCTTGGCTCACTGCAGCCCTTGCTTCCTGAGTTCAAGTGGTTCTCCTGTCTCAGCCTCCTAAGTAGATAGGACTACAGGTGCGCACCACCACACCTGGCTAATTTTTGTATTTTTATTTTTTATTTATTTTTTGAGATGGAGTCATGCTCTGTTGCCCAGGCTGGAATGCAGTGGCGTGATCTCGGCTCACTGCAACCTTTGCCTCCTGGGTTCAAGCAATTCTTCTGCCTTGGCCTCCTGAGTAGCTGGGACTACAGGCGCCCACCACTGTGCCTGACTAATTTTTTGTATTTTTGGTAAAGACAGGGTTTCACCGTGTTAGCCAGGGTGGTCTCGATCTCCTGACCTCATGATCCGGCCTCCCAAGTGCTGGGATTACAGGCATGAGCCACCACACCCAGCCTATTTTTGTATTTTAGTAGAGATGGGGTTTCGCCATGTTGGCCAGGCTGGTCTCAAACTCCTGACTTCAGGTGATACTTGTAATACTAAGAAGTATACACTGCTTGTGATATGATTAAAGAAAATGGAGTAAATGAAATTCTTGAACAAAATGATACTTAAGAAATAAAACCACTAACTAGGAGGAAAACTGATTATAGCTTCACATTATTTAACAATGTGGCCAAGGCATAGAATTTTGCGGAGGAATAGTGCCTAGTAGAGTGCTTAGTTTATGCTGCTTCGTGTGTGTTGGTTGAATGAATTTGATGGGTTGATACCTTATTATGGAAGCCGAATTGTATATATATACCTGATTAAGCAAGAAATTTGAATGTTATCTAATGGTCAGTGAGAATTTTGAGCAGGGAAATGATGTCATTCATTGCTTGTTTTAGACTGGAAGGAAATGTACAAAAGGTTATATTTTATGATAGAACTATGATAAATTTCCCTTTTACTTTGCTAACATTTCTAAGAACACACACCCTTTATAAAGTCTAAGAGTACACTTCCAAAGGTGATAGTGGCTCCCTGTGAAATGGGAATGGGGGTGAGGGCAATGTATTTGCATCTGGGAGGGGTAGCATATGTACTTTGAAAGAGAGCATCCAGGGATATGTCCTTCATGAGTATCATTATTGTAGAGAATCCTTGAGTATCAAATCATAGAACTCCTAGAGCTCCTCAGCTCTAACCCTCATGTTATAGATGAGATCAAGTGAATTTCTTGACTCAACCCAGGACTCCTGATTCCTAGTTCATTGTTCTTTTTCATGCATTAAAGTTGTGGAAAAAACCATGCAGGTGAACAGGAGGGAGGATTGGTTTACGTAGTTTTGTCTTCCCTGCTCCAGAGTAACTTTTCCAGCGAGCCTCAATGTTTTCATATCATCTTGCTGTACTTTAAAAATTTAAAGATTTGTGTCAATTACATATTCATGTAGGTAATAAAAAAATCTCACTGGCCGGGTGCAGTGGCTCATGCCTGTAATCCCAGCACTTTGGTAGGCCAAGGCGGGTAGATCGCCTTAGCTCAGGAGTTCGAGACTACACAGGGCACATGGTAAAACCCCGTGCCTACTAAAAATACAAAATAATTAACCGGGTGTGGTGGCGTGCAACTGTAGTCCCAGCTACTTGGGAGGCTGAGGTAGGAGAATCGCTTCAGCCCCAGAGGTGAAAGGTGCAGTGAGCCAAGATTGCGCTGCTGCACTCCAGCTTGGGCTACAGAGTGAGACTCCTTCTCAAAAAAACAAAAAAAAAAATCTCACCACCACAGAGGCAAATCAGTAAAACATCTTGTCATGTTTTCTTACCAGTCTTTTTTCTTTTCTTTTTTTTTTTTTTTTTTTTTTTGAGGCGGAGTCTTGCTCTGGCACCCAGGCTGGAGTGCAGTGGCCGGATCTCAGCTCACTGCAAGCTCCGCTTCCCGGGTTCACGCCATTCTCCTGCCTCAGCCTCCCGAGTAGCTGGGACTACAGGCGCCCGTCACCACGCCCGACTAGTTTTTTGTATTTTTTAGTAGAGACGGGGTTTCACCGTGTTAGCCAGGATGGTCTCGATCTCCTGACCTCGTGATCCGCCCGTCTCGGCCTCCCAAAGTGCTGGGATTACAGGCTTGAGCCACCGCGCCCGGCACCAGTCTTTTTTCTAAATGTATACTTTAAAAATTAGAATTGTATTGTTTTACAGCTTTTTAAAAAGCTATTGTTTTATAGCTTTTTATATGTTTTTATATACAAACATTCACTTAAGTATATGTAGGTGTTTTTTTATTTTATTTTTTGTTTTTTAATTTTTATTTATTTATTTATTTATTTGAGATGGAGTTTCGCTCTTGTTGCCCAGGCTGGAGTGCAATGGCACGATCTCAGCTCACTGCAACCTCCGCCTCCTGGGTTCAAGTGATTCTCCTGCCTCAGCCTCCTGGGTAGCTGGGATTACAGGCACTTGCCACCACACACGGCTAATTTTTATGTTTTTAGTAGAGATGGGGTTTTGCCATGTTGGCCAGGCTGGTCTTGAACTCCTGACCTCAGGTGATCCACCCGCTTCAGCCTCCCAAAGTGCTGGGATTACAGGCGTGAGCCACCACGCCCAGCCCTATTTAAAATGGTTATGTAGTAGTTATCCGTCATACAGATGTGCCACAACATATATGATTAAATCTCTATTGTTAGGTAGTTCTCAATTTTTCAAACAAGCAACTGTTTTATAAATGCAGAGTTCTAAGAACATTAGGAGACTTCGAGTCATTCACTTACTAGTTTGAATTAGTTAATAATCTGCTTTTTTTTTACTACCTAGTTGAGAGCGGCTAGTTGGAGAACGGAAACTGATTTGGCATGAAGCACTTTAGGAAGAGGGTGGGCTCAGAAAGGGCTGTGAAGGGGTAGAGTTCCATATAGGCTGTTTGAACCTCAGAAAAAGGGATGTAGAAAAAGGTTGCTGAATGGAGTAATTTCAGTGTTTTGCATAGGAATGACTCTTTTTCTGGTCCATGTGACTTTTGCTTTAAGATTATTGCTCAAGCTATTTTGTAAGTTTGGGGTTCTCCCACACAAATAGATTGACTAAGCACTAGTTAAAAGGCTAGGCATCTGAGTACCACTTACATGTTTTACTTTCCAAGTTCCAACCTAACTACTTATAAACTCGAAAATAGTTACGAATTGTGGATTACCTATAGTCAAATAGTAGGTTTTTTTTTTGTTTGTTTGTTTGTTTGTTTTTTTTTTGTCAGTTGGAAATGAAAGGGCAGGTATTGGCAAGGCTTAGGGACTAATTTAATGCCATTAGGAAAGCACAAGATAACTTAAGGGCTAAAAGCCTCAAAAAAAAAAAAAAATGGTGAAATGAAGAGTTGTTGCTGATTGGTGCAGGAACCTGAAAGATGACACCTGAAAACTCAAATTACATTTCAGGAACTTGTGCTGGCGAGAGATAGGGATAACACAGATAAAAGTGTAATTTGTAGATACTCTAAAATCCTTTATCTTGGCCAATAGTTTCAGCCATGGCTTAAAATAATATATCTATCTGTACTTTAGCAAAATGGGTAGATTTGCATTTCACATGTTCCTCCTTTGGTTGAAAACAACTGATTACATAGGAAAGGGAAGATGATACTCTAAACTAGGTCTTCATTCTGCTACAATATGACATTGGACAGGGCATTTCATCTCTCTGCTTTCTAACCTGCAAGTAAAAGGATGATTAATATTGGTTTAGATAATTTTTAAAGTTTCTTTAGAACCTGAAGAATCTTTATTTCTAAAACAAAAATGTCACCCATGAGGTAGAATTGGCTATACTTTCTCAAATGTAAGAAATTAAGCAAAATGCTGATCTAGTAGGTTCACATAACTTTTAAGTAAAGCATCTTGAAGGTGTCCCTCTATCAACTGAAGAACAAATGTCTGAGTTTAATATATGACTGCATCAAAAAAAAAAAAAAATGCAACCACAGTAGGTGACCAAAAGGATAAGTAACTTTCAGGAATTTTGAAAGCCCAGTAGTATTTAGTATATGCCCTCTCAGCATTAAAAAGGTCACCTTGCTAATACATGTTAATTTTGAAAGTTTAATTGACCTTTGGAATTTTAATATCAACCTTTTTTGGTGTGTTTAGAGGTTGGAGCAATCACTGAAGAAACTGAAGCCTGTGATTGGTGGAGTTTGGGTGCTGTCCTCTTTGAACTTCTCACTGGCAAGGTAAGCAGGGACCTGGACGTTTAATAAATTTACTCAGATGCTACCTTGATTTCAAATTGAGAACATTAGCCTTCACCCTTAGTTTTTAAATCAGGGACTAAGCAAGAAAAACTTTGATACCGAAAGCAGGTAGAGAAATGCAAGTTTATCAAGATTCCAGATTTTTTTTTAAAGTTGGATTGCATTACATTGAATAAATTGATGGTAAAATTATTTTATGTCACAATATTTCATAGTGAAATATGACTAAACCTTTTTCTTTTAATTTTCCATGATTCAGCTTTAACAGAGTCAAATCTGTAAGGTTTATGTAAGGATGTATTAAAATTCTCTGGATGTTTTAAACATCTTGTCTGAAACCAGGAGGGAATTCTTATTTACGAAAATTAATGTAGATATTAAAGTTAGCATTATCTTTTTCTCAGTACCATAAATTTTTCTTATCTGTTCTAGCTTAAGGACAGAAATTATACTCTCAGATGAATGACTTTTGAATATAATGTTTGAGTTAGTAGACTTTAATAAAGTATTGTGCAGATTGCTTCCTGGGAAGAAAACAGAGGAAATGAACAGTTACGCTTTTGTAAATAGTCATCTACCTACGTGTGTAGATAATACTGACCTAAGATTGTTGGAGAGTTTACAAATCACCTTTACATACATTTACACTGTAAAGCGCTATATATGTATGTAAAGTATTTTGACTAACAAATTCTAAACTTTGAAGAGTTTTTAAAACATTAAAACATTTTAAAGGGATCAAATCCCTTTTTAGTTTTGTGTATAATTTAAGCATTTCTATAATATTCTGAGCCATTAATTTTATAACCAAGGACGATGGGACAGTAGTATAAGCTTATGATATGATCATGGTGATTGTCTTCATTTCAGTTAAAAGTTCTATAGGCTCATAGCCCTCATCCTAAACAGCTTAGGCGGCACTGCATTGATTACTACACCTCCAGTTAAAATGGTTGTTGAGCTCTCTGTACTTGCTGTCCATAAATCCTATGGTATAACAAAATATGATGTTATTTGGGATAAGAAGTGTGCCTGATTGATTGTTTCAGACTCTGGTTGAATGCCATCCAGCAGGAATAAATACTCACACTACTTTGAACATGCCAGAATGTGTCTCTGAAGAGGCTCGCTCACTCATTCAACAGGTAATTTAATTGACCTATTGGCCAGGTTTATCAACCATGCAGATTAGCAGAGCCCACACCTCCAAAACCTTAAAAACAGATTAGTTTGGAGCAAGAAAAACCCATTTAACCTAAAACAAAGATGCATTCAGAATTAATACTGTATATTTTCAGGCTTTTGCTATCATCAAAGTATTGATTGGGTCAGAGAGTATAGTTAAAACTTCTTGGTATTAATTTTTTTTCCCAAAATTCAGGACTCACGTTTAGTCAATTCTGTATATTTGTATAACTCTGTGATTTGAGTATTGCTTTTAGCTTGTCTGGGGCTGCTCTAATTTTGCAGTTGCATTTTGTAACCACCTATAAATGGCTGTTTTCAGTTTTTAATTCTTATTTATAAATTTACTCAGGTTATTTATAAAGCTACTCAGATAGCTTAGGAGGGGCATATTAGAAAATCTTGTCAAGTTAGATACTTCATCATTGGTGGAACTTGGGCATTGGTGTCAATGATTACATTTCTGGTGGCTTTGAAGAAAGAGACCATTGATAATTAAAGTTCAGTATCCCAGAGACAGGCTTGGAACTCCAGTGAGCTGCTTAGATTGATTCCCCATACTTAAATTACTCCTCTAGTTTTGTGTAGTGAATTTTGCTGAGTATATTGAGGGTTGTTAGTACTCTGGTGTGACAGGCCCATTGCTGGGCTATCAGCTGGAACAAGCAGGCCTGGGATCCTTATACTTTGATGAAAAATATAGTGGAAAAAGTTATTTGAAAAAGATCAAGAACTAAAATTATGTAATGAAACGTGGATTTTTTTTAAAAATCAGGGAAAACAAAAATTGAAAGAAAAGAGGGCAGGGGAGCATATATTAGGAAGATAATTAACTAGTATTCTCTTGAAGAGTGATTTTGCTTTCATTCAACAAATATTATATACAAGGCACAATGCTATAAGCTACAAAGGTAAGACACGTAAATAACCATACCACATGGAAATTGATAAAGGCTGTCAAAGAATTTTAAAAAATACTATGGCAAGTCAAAAGAAGGAGGCAGATATAATCAGTGGAATGGTAGTATTAGGGAAAGTTTTCGTGGAATGGACGCTACTTTTGCTGGGCCTTAGAATTTCAGCATGGCAAGGCAGGATGTGGGGAGAACAGTCTTGGTGGAATGAATGGTTTGAGCAAAGGCAAGGAAGGAGTCTGAAAGACCCAAGTTTAGGAAACAAAAGTTTGATTTATCTGGACTAGAGAGATAAGTAAAGATATGGGTAGTAGGTGAGCATAAAAAAATAAGTTGGAGTTCTCTTATGGGGTTCTATCATCACAAACACAAGAATAGAGTGATAATACTTAATTCATTAAAATTTGAGATTTGGCCGGGCACAGTGACTCATGCCTGTAATCCCAGCACTTTGGGAGGCCGAGGCGGGTGGATCACGAGGTCAGGAGATCGAGACCATCCTGGCTAACACAGTGAAACCCCGTCTCTACTAAAAATACAAAAAATTAGCCGGGTGTGGTGGTGGGTGCCTGTGGTCCCAGCTACTCAGGAGGCTGAGGCGGGAGAATGGCATGAACCTGGGAGGCGGAGCTTGCAGTGAGCCGAGATCGCGCCACTGCACTCCAGCGTGGGTGACAGAGTGAGACTACGTCTCAAAAAAAAAAGAAAAAGAAAAAAGAGATTTGGAGTTTGTGGAGAAGAGTAAAAGGTTTAGAGTTGTACTTCAGGAAGATTAATTTGCCCAGAGTATGTAAACTATAAAGAAACAATCAGGTTGGAAATGCTGAGATGAGAATACCTAGAGCACTTTAGATTAAGAGGTAGATTTAGAAGAGATACATAAAACATTTCATTCTAATGGGAAAAAAGAGCAGCTATTCATTTGATTTCATCTTATTTGTTGTGGCACGAGATAAATTCAAAGTATTTTTTAGTAAATAATTTAGGAAAGACTAGCAACTGCTATTTTTTTGTTTCTCTTCCTTAAAGAAGTAGTCGTTATTATCTAATACTAAAAATAGAATTCCCCATAATAAGTTATCAAGTTCTGCTTTTGTCTTTATTAGAAGTTATGTTGTAAAGGAATCTAGGCTTAAGGTATGGTAAGTCTCCAAACTCAGATATGTATAGCTTATATAGTAAATCAGCATTATGTCATTGGCCTGCCTAAGGAAACTACCACTCATGTTGAGGAAACATCATCAGGAAAGGGAAAAGGGGTCTCTTGGCATGATTAGCAATTTGTCATTTTGACTTTCCTTTTCCACTACCTCACAGGTCATAGAGGTCACTTTAAAAAAAAAATCACAAAATGATTTATATGGAAATAATTCTACTTGGGGGAAATTTTCTCCTCTTTGGTGTTTTAGCTCCTTGCTTTCTTGTTAGATTTCATAATCCCCGTACCCCTGGTTCATTTATCTGTCCAAGTCAAGCGAATGGTGCCAAAGTAAACATAATTACATTTTAAATGCAATCTTAAAAAAAATTCCTCAGAGCATGTATTTTTGTGCTTTAGCATGTACATTAGTTAATTATGACGCAGTTACTTGGTCAGTTTTAAGAAATTGTGTGAGGAAAAGACCAAAACAAATGTTTTGTGCCCTCATTGCTCAGCTCTGTTGCCTGTTCTTCAGGAGAAAGGAGGTTGGCAGCTGCTGTCTTGGATTCATTAACTTGAATGTGCCACTGGCTGACATTTTCTTAAGCAGTAGAATCTTTCTGTGACCTCTCTTGAGATGTATTATAGCCTTTAAAACAGCAGAATAAGCAAGATAGTCATGGTTAAAACAATTACACTTTTGCCTATAGATTTATACTTGCAAATGTATAGAGGAGTTCATGAACCAATTAAATTGACTTTAGTAAAAGTCAAAATATGAACCTTTAGAATTTCACATTTAAAGTAACATTTTAGAAAGAAACCAGTTGTTTATAATGAAGAAGAAAGAACTTACATGTTTATATGTTTCCTGAAATACTAAATATAATGCTGTCATTGCAGTTAATTCTTACAAATATTTGAAATGTTAGATTTATATTAAAATGTTTGATGCCTTCCACATTTCAGTCAGTAGACATAAATTGTCTGATTGTAAAAGTGGATTTGATACACGTAGGATATTCCTATGATGTTTGTTTTATAACAATAGCTTTTCTCTTAACAAATCGTAGCAACTACTAATATAAAAATTATTTGAGCAATTAGGTTTAATAAACAGTGTAGTATGGTTCAGTTTGAGTGCTAGACATAATTTCAAGTAAAAGATTGTTAGTATAGTCTTTTGAAGTATATGCTTCATTCCCCTTATGGATTTAGTTATACCCAAGTGAAGTAATAGATTCTTAGCATTTGCAGATCTCACTTTCATGAGGCAGTGTAATGTTGTTAAGGCATGGATTCTGGAATCAGAATGCTTGAATTCAAATCTTGTCTTTGCCACTTACTACCTGTTTGATCTTAAACAAGTTACTTAATTCCCCTTTTCTTATCTATAAAATGGAGATAATAGTAGCTATTCATAGAGTTGTGAGTTAAATGAGTTAACCTGTCATAACCACTTAGAATAATACCTGGCATGTGGTAAATGTCGTGTATATCTTTGTTAGTATTACTGATGGGACAGTGAGGAACATTCATGACACAGTAATTTGCAATTTGATGAAGCATATATTGGAATTATAGGGCTGCTAATGAAGAATGAGGCTACTGCTATTGGCATAGGTCAACAAAATTCTAAAAAAGTAGTGGACTGGCATATAATAGCAAACAATTGATACTTATCATGCAAATAATTGAATTAATCATGAATGAAAGAAAAATTAGAAATAATGAAAAAGAAAGAGAAGAAATAGAAGTTTTGGTTAACGTCCAAGAGTGGAATTTCCTGTATATTGGACTACAAATATTGTAAATAAATAATTTAATATTTCAGTTGCACTTGACTACATTCTGTGGAAAAAAATATTTACTGGGAGTATTCTTAAATTTAAGTGGCTGTGGCTTCATAAGTTAGTTGGCAGAGTTTCTTTCCCCCAGAAAGTATGAAGTTAGACAGATTTGGTGAAAAACCTATCATTTCAGTGCTCTGGAAATGGATCAAAGGATACAACAATCTGAAAGGTATTTATGCTTAAAAAATAGCTGAACTGGCCGGGCACGGTGGCTCACGCCTGTGATCCCAGCACTTTGGGAGGCTGAGGTGGATGAATCACCTGAGGTCAGGAATTTGAGACCAGGCTAATATGGTGAAACCCTGTCTCTACTAAAAATACAAAAATTAGCTGGGCGTGGTGGTGGATGCCTGTAGTCCCAGGTACTCGGGAGGCTGAAACAGGAGAATTGCTTGAACCTGGGAGGTAGAGGTTGCAGTGAGCCTAGATCGTGCCACTGCACTCCAGCCTGGGCAACAGAGTGTGGCTGTGTCTCAAACAAACAAACAAACAAAAAACAGCTGAACTCTGGGAAAGAAGAGTGGGAACTCTTGACTCAGGGCTGCTTTCAATCTCCCCTTCCTGCTTGATCAGGTGCAAAGGTTTTGCCAGGGTGGGGTAAACCATGAGGACTGATCCTGAGGCTGCATAAATGTGCACAGGAACAGGGAATGGGCCCAGCAGAAAGTAAAATCCAGGGCAGATGTGGTTTTGTGGCCTAAACTTTGAGTGTGTTCACCTATGCATTGGCAGAGAACAGAAGCTTGAAGGGCTGAGGTATTTGAATACAACCTCTGTTCAGTCATTGGTTGACCCATAAGCTATGCAGACACAGGGGTGACCCTGAGAAAGCCAGCTTTAAAAAGAAAAAAAAAATGTGGAAAGTTGTCAGCAGCTGCACATTACAGTGCAGTGAGTGGGAAGGGAACTTAGCAACTTTACAGATCTAACTGAAACAAGTTACCAAACAAAGAACAAACAATCCAACAGCAATGATAAACTTCATGGGGAAAAAAATCAGACTCTAGAGTTGCTAAAATATGCTATCTAAAATGTCCTGTTTTCAGTGAAGT